AAGAAGCTATTAGTAACAAGTGCCTTACTAGTAGTAACAAGAAGCTATTAGTAACAAGTGCCTTGCTAGTAGTAACAAGTGCCTTACTAGTAGTAACAAGAAGCTATTAGTAACAAGTGCCTTGCTAGTAGTAACAAGTGCCTTACTAGTAGTAACAAGAAGCTATTAGTAACAAGTGCCTTGCTAGTAGTAACAAGTGCCTTACTAGTAGTAACAAGAAGCTATTAGAATTAAGAATTTGCCAACGCATCGACCTGTTGAACTCGAGGCGTCGTTGGCCGCTGCCCTGCACAGCGGAGCCACGGCTGGTGGTGCGCCCTGCAGCTGCAACGCGCAAGGTGGGGTTGCTGGGTAGTGACCAGGTGGTGAGGTTGGCACCAAGAGCCCAGGTCGTCCAGGCTTTGCAAAAGGATTCAGAATCCAAGATGTATGATATGTCTATCCAGCATGGTGTGGCCTTAATATCACACAAAACCAGGTTGTCGTCCCTGCACGCCACTTCAGGTGGTTAGTTGGCTAGCGGGTGATAGCGGGTGATAGCGAGTGATAGTGGGTAAGTGGATGCCAAGAGGGCTTTGAAGCCTTTGCTTTTCAGACCTCCTCGTCACTTCCTGCACTGACCTTGGCCTGGCCTACAAGATCTAGCAGGAGCAAGAGTGGAGGCGAGATGACCCGACTCCGACCGTCGTCATATGAGTTGAGGGTAGATGCAAGTGACCCAGTTGTGGCACATGTTTGAACTGGCTTTCCTAGAGAAGAGTCTTTGGACTGGGACATCTTTGGACACAGAGTCAAGATCAGTCGAGATATCATCTTGAACAATCGCAGAAGCAGTCGCAGAAGCATGTTCATTTCCTTCCAATCCATTTCAGCTCAGCATTCAAGAGCTTCCCACGGTGTCGTTTTCGCGATTTCTGACACATTCCATGAAAGAAAGAACGACTTGGCCAAGCTGTGGTGGTCCAGTCCAACCGTGTCTCAGGCAGACTTCGATCTGGTTCGGGGCCTTGGAGCTCCAACCGTAAAGCGCGGAAAGCTCGAAATCTCCGTCGAAGGAGCGAGGGATGGCTGTTTCTACTGTTTTTTCATACGGTTGGAAGCGATGGCTGGAGATCTCAGTGATGCACAAGTTGATATAGTTGATACATGGTTGGAAGATGCTCGGGTCATAGACAGGGTCAAAGAGGGATTCACTTCACCACTGAGGAAGTGCACCCATGGCCAGCAGAGCGTGGCATGAGGTGCACCATTTCTGCTGTGAGATGAAATGTGGGTACCATGCCCTGTAAGGGCAATGCATGAAACTTTCCAGATGATTTGGGACCGACATTGAACATGATAGCACAACCTTCCCGTGCTCTTGCAGCTCTCATGTGTTTCACTGTGATTACTATGCTCCAAGCGTCCAGGCACAGCTTGGCCCCACGGGGCGCAGTAGTGCTTTGCTGGGCAGGCGAGGGTCGGCGCGGCGAGCGGCTGAAGCATTTTTCCATGGCATGAACGTTGGAAACGAGAGGGGGTTGTCAGTGAAAGGTCTCTTCCTTAGCACTGCCTTGCGAAGAAAAAGACAGGTCATCCAAAAGAGAAAACTTTCGACTCGGGAAAGGCAGTGCTTCTCTTGCGGTCCAGACGCCGAAAGGATAAAAACTGCTCTGAGCAGTTGTGTTTCAGAAAACTCAAGATTTCTTTGCGCTTGATTTGTCCACTCAAAATACCATCTGCGATTTGCTTTCGATTGGCCATGACAGGTCAGCAGAACCTCAAGCAGAGACGGAGCTCTGTGCTGAGGTGGTCGTGGGCGAGACTGTACTATTGGTGATATCTGACACCCGACATGGAAATGATGCGGGTGCAGGCAAAATTTGCAATTTTCCTTTCATGGTTGTCAAGGGCCTGACGAATTTGTTTATAACAATGTGCTATATACACACGATGAAATACATTGGAGGCAAAGCAAGAGAACATACATTCCATCATCATGTCATAAGCAAACAAACCACAACGACCACGTTGGCAAAGCCTCGGATGCTCGGCGGTTTTCTCGCGGCCAGGATCCTCTCTCGCCAACTTCAACAGGAAACCAAGAGGCCAAGTTGAATGGCCGAGTTCTTTTTGTTGGCGACCAACTGGTGTTTTTTTGTAATTAGCTGACCAGAAGTGAAGCCCAGTATTGTGGCTCAGCTTTCCAGAGCTTTGACCACGAATCAGATTAGTCAACAGATCAGCTTTGACAAGCCAAGCCATTCATTCGCCAGTGATCATCCACAATCCGCTTTTCCATCATCATGAAATCACCGGCAAACAAGCTGCTTGAAATCTTATGGGGGGCCTCTTTAACGCAAAGGGCAGCATGGCTTGAGGAAGATGTTCTCTTGTTGTTGCGACAGATTGTCCCATTCCCTCTCTATGCAGGGTTTAACCCAGCAGAGTTCCCACCAACACCTGTTGGTCACCCTGCTTGGTCTAGCAGTTGAGCCTAGTTTCTTTTGGTTGGTCACCTGGCAAGCTGGCTAGCTGCTTGTATTTGGATCCAACAAGTGCATGGGTATTGTCTGTGAAGCTGTAAGTCCAAGGTTGACATTTGGGAATTATTTGGTACAGTAGTAGTATATCAGGATAGTTGTTTCAGTAGATCCATTCCAATAAACAAAAGTATTATTTTCTTTCATATCCACTACTATAATTTGGGGAACAAGAGAGCACAGTTACCCGACCCATCACTTCTGATGAAAGGGATAAGAGACCAAAATGAAGAAATATATATATATATTTGTATATATGTAATCAGTTGTATTTGTTTTATGCGGAATGTTATATAAATCTACAAACACTATAAACTCAAATTGATTATGTGGAAAACATGATCTCTTCTTCTTTTTCATGCAGCCGCTCACTGGTCGGGCTCGAGCACATCGTCACGGTCGGGTGTCACGATTGGGTGCTCTGTGGTGTTAAACGACGAGGCCCGCTTTCACGTCGAGCTCAAGCGTGTGAGCTCTGAAGTGGATGAGGCCTTTTTGGAACAGCGGCGCCGAATTCAGCGGAATTCGCGGGCGGTACGAGGTTGCAGTCGAGATGGATTCTGATTGTGATTCTGTACCAAACACATCAAAACATCCTGCAGCACTAGGACATTCTCGCATTTGTGCCAAGGTAAATGATATGCCAGGTACTCATGTCAAGTCATGGTGAGGACCCTCATGTTTGGCTGATGCGATCCAGGGATCCTGCTTTTGGCGTCAGACTATCCGTAGAATGACAGTGCTGCAAGTCTGCATGCAAGTGGGAGCACCATGATGCACACTTCAGCACCATCGAGTTTTTGGACGAACCCACCGTTGCAGATACCGGATATTGCATGGTATCACTGTGGTGATTGGTGGACCAACTCCACCCCACACTCCACAGATCCAACGATCCTGGGTGTCGCTTCACCGGCAGTGGCAGGTGCATCGGCGGCAATTGTCGACGAGAAGGCATTTGGAGCAGGTGAAGAGAGAGTTGTCCAGTGGCGTCCTTGGAATGTTCCGTTGGGAGACAGGGCGATGTGGAACGTGGCCGACCAGTGAGGGGATTCACAGAAAGCACATGATTCGGGGCCTGAAGAAGAGCGATGCAAGGTGATTCTTTGTTTTTCTACTTTGATGTGGGACCTTTCTAGTATTTTGTCTTGAGTGTGGTGTATTCCTTGACTGTGACCAATGCTAGACTTTCAAGGATCTCATTTCCAGGACCGAAGACTGTGCACCAGATTTTCGTGAGTTTCCACCAGCCATAAGTGAGTCAACATTGGGACAGTGCACCAATGTTCTTGACCACCTCGTGGACAAAAATTGCCGTTTGGCCGGGAAACGGCCACTCTTTGCAACCATCAAGATAACTTGGAGGATCTTGGAGGCATGAACACGTGGCCGCACGCAACTGCATGCGGATCCATGGCGGACACATTAACCGCCCGAGATGGTCGACCGACCGGCTAGAGCAGCCAGCCAATCCGGGCGGCCAAGGTGATAGCGACATGAACCTCAAGGTGGGGCGGAATTTGAGATTGAAGTGTTTCCTCTCAAACCTGGACTGACAGGTTTTGAGTTTGCTTTGATGACTTGGGACTCTTGCCAATGACGTCACATCAAGTAACATCATATTACATCTACAAATCTCTGGACTCTGGATGGTACATACGTATTCGCGTCCATGACCTTTTACCAGATTTGTCATAGATTTTGTCACAGAAATTTTTTCACAGAAAATTTGAATGATTTCTTTTTGTGGACCACATCCTTCGCACCTTCAAAAGACCTCTGGGTGCACCGGAAGTGCACCACTTGTTTGATGTTCCCACTGGAGCTGCCAGGCCATTGCTGCTTACCAAGAGAAGGTGAATTCAGTGCGAGCCGAGGCCGAAGACCGCTGTTTGCCACAACTTTGCGTTCATGGAATATCGAATGGCCCAATGACTCTTGATGGCTGTCCTCTGGCCTTCGGAGAGAATCAAAACGGTTCGTTTTATTGTTGCGGGACCCACAACATGTTCAGGCCTTTGGATTGCTGTGCTCCGCTGACTTACCCAGCTTTTGGCAAACTAGGAACCAGCATCCGGTCTTTGGATGAGAAGTAAGACCCATTTGATGGGAGGGTTCAAAAGAAGTTTCCTTTGCAGGGTGGGCGCTCTGTTTATCTAGGAATTTGCCATGTTGATTTTTTGGCCCATCATCCTACTTGCGGAGCATTGATCCTACACAGCGATTTCAACATGGTTGTATGATCATCCTGCCACAATTCACCAGCCACTCGGAATGTACGACAATCCGCATGTAATCCCACGTGGATCTATCAATGATCCAACCATACTTGTAAGAACCTTGCATACTTAAGTGGCATACCTGGAGTGACTGGACTGCCATGCTTGGCGTGCCCTACCGTCTTTGAACTAGTGTTGAGTCGGGCACGCCAGCCACAGATACAAGGAGCCAAAATAACTGTTTAACAAAAAAAAGCACACAAATGTAGCTGTTCGTGTTTGTCGCTGATTTCCGCTTTATTTTCACATGTGTTTTGCTTTGTTTTCGCATTTTTTCGCCTTTTTTATGTTTTCTTTTTCCTAGGAGCGTACAGCAAATATTGCTGACGGGTAAAATTTCTCATAAGTGCAGAAGTTGTACCAGGAAAAAAGCAACAAAAAGCAACACAGATGCAAAAACAAAGCAAATTGCGCTGCTTTTGCATTTTCATTTGCTTTTATAATAGTTTTGTTGCATTCTTTTCACAAAAAACTATATTTGATGGTTGGTCATGTATGGCTGCCATTGCTCAACACAAAACTAGTGACTATACTTGGAGTCTCAGTCAGTCACAGAGCGCGCCTGCCCTTCGAGAGAGGACGCTCCGCCCCTGCAGGTTGCTACTTTGGTCGACAACTTTAGGAGTGAGTGGGAAACCTTCCAGCCTGTCAACGAAGAGTTGCAGGTGGGGATGTCGACGATGAAGTCGGTTTCGCAGCTGACCGAGGCGGTTCCCGTGAGACCACAAAGCCATGCATGCCCATAACTAGCTTGGTTTGATGTAGCTCTGTGCAATATACGGCTGAAAGGGAAAGCTTCATGATCTTCATGAAATGAATCCAGAAGCATGGGATAGCATGGGTTGAATCTGTTTTGGTACTCCTACGCCACTCTTTGAGCAATCCTGAAAACGAAACATGACACCAGAGCATCTCTGTGTCTGTGTAGTTTTTGTCGTTCACGTCCCGGCCATATGTCGGTCGGAGGTCTTGGCGGCAGAGACCGATGTTCTCACTGAAAGAGATCAGCGCATGTCGGAGCTGTTGGAGCGGATGTCCAGGAGTCCGCCCGGAAATCAGGGAAATCGGGAAAGCCATGCTTCCGGTCGATCTTTCTGTCAAAGGTTGCGTTGTGATCAACTTTCAGTCTCAACATATTCTACCAACATCTGCCAACTGATGGCTATGCAACAGCTATATATTATTGCACTCCCTTTTATCTGCCAGGTAAAAACAGGTTTCACCAGCTTCGGTGTTGCAATGGGACCAACAACAGACACCAGACCCAAAGGGTGGGAAACCCCCGACCTGGCCTCGAGGTTTGTAAACGTGTTGACCCGGCGGAAGGAAGTTGGACTTCTTTGATGAGACCTTGGGGAGCAATTTGCAGCGCTGGGGTTGACCGCCAGCGCTCGCGGCCTAGATGCGCTCGATTCCAAAGCCAGAGTCGCCAGCCTGTTTTTCACTAGGTCAACCAACAGGGTCTATACATGAGCAACCACTTATATTCATTCTTTACAGTAGTCTACGCCATGCTCTAGTTGTTTGTCCAACATCAGTTTCGATGGTGAACGAGATCGGGCAAAAGTAGTCTGAACGAGATACGGTGATTTGCCAGTAAAGTAGTCTGAACGAGATACTGTGACACGACCCCCTGTACAGTACTTACTGCAAGTAGTCTAAACGAGATAGGGCCCACATAGTAGATATATAGACAGTGTATTTGATTTTAGGAATGAATTAATGCCGCCGCTCATATGTCTACCAATGGGATTTTTGGGGTGTTCGTGATTGAACTGTATAATTTTGAGTTGACCTGGTATGTCTCCTGCTGAAAACGTAGAACGAGATATGCATTGCACGGTCGGATTCGCAAGATCACATGGACCTGGTGGAATCGGACACATGACAGTGTGGATGACAAGAGCGTTGTCTTCCACGTGGGTCGTTTTTTTTTTTTTACGATCGTCATACCCTTACTTACAAAGAACATAAATATATTACAAAAATTATAGACAATACTATATTAATATATAATATGTAGATAGAGGTACCATTTCGCACTGGGGACAATACGACTATGAGTTCCACATAGTTCCACCCATCATGAGGCATCGCTCTTCGTGGAGGACCATCCCAATATATACCACTAGGAGTGCAGACCATGGCTCAGGTGCTCGAGACTTGTGGCTGGAGCGGTCATCGAAAATGACTAGTTCCTTGCCTGAGCCGCATATTTATAGATGGTGGTGCTTGAAAGTTAGATGCACGCAGAAGGGGCTGTAGATGCTGTAAATGCTCCAACGAAGCCAAACGAGTAGTCAACCAGTCAACACTGGACGATAAATCCGCAGCTATGCAGGTAAGATGAATGCACTTGGACATTTTGCCCAACAGCGGATCCGACATGGGGTGGACAATCTCACTGGGGATTAGGACTGTGCCGCCCGCTGGGTGTGGGCATGCACCGTGGACTGGAGATAGGCCCAAAACACCCAGCAGTGCATTCCAACTCCTTTTAGGGAGCCCAGTGTTGCGAGGTGAACGGGGCTTGTTGAGCTGAATGGGCCTCATGCTCGCGGGGAAAGACGCTTGCGAAGCAGGAGCCCAGGCGTTTCTTTCCTGCCATCCTTTGAGCAAGCCCCAGTGCATCCCGGTGCTACTATTGCTTTTCGCAGCAAGTTTTGGTTGGCCTCCACAGCACCCACGGCGTGCGCAAGTCGGTTTCCTCCTTCTTGCTGTCTCTGTGCTTCCACTATGCCTCCGCCTCGACTTCACCAAACGCTGACCGTGCTGACTCAACTATTTCCAAACAATCTCAGGGGAGCACTGCAACCGGTCGTCAGAAAACGATGAAATTCCGAAGCCAGGCATGTATTCATTTTTGCGCTTGGGGCGCTGCTCCGGTTGCGTGTTTTGCTGTGAGCTTGACCGGGCATTTTGTCTCTGCGCTCCCTTTTTGGGTCAGACTTGTTTGAGAAGACTGTGAGCAGTCAACCATCCTCTGAGAAGAGTTGGAAGCTTGACATGGTAGCAAGCCTTCGAGGATTCTGAGGGTGAGGGGCAGACCCTGTGAGAGAAAGGACAACTGTTTGTAGGATCAATGAGGGGAGCCATTCTGCAGCACCAGAAAGTCCGACACTTGTGTAGTCGTAGCGTGCGCGCTGACGGGAACATTAGACATTTTTGCATAGGTGTGTTGCCTTCTTAGAGAGCGACGCCGACTTCTCAGGCTTTTCTCGCAGAGGACGCGCTGTACTCACCTTGTCCACCATGCCGAGCTTTGCCACCAAGCCTTGCGTCCACTCGCGGCCTTTCTGCCGTCGCTGCTTCGCTTATAAGCCGCTGCTTTCTCCGCAAAATAAACCACTGAGTCATCTGACGGTGAGGAGGATGGACATGCAGAAAGGGACCATCCTACAGATGCCGAGTGTCTTCGCAAGCCAATGACACAGCCCAGCACTCTCTGACTGCAGAACAACCTAGATAATCGTGTTCTATGCACTAAGCTCTCTGAAGTCGAGCGCTCGTAGAAAAGTTGCACGCAACTCGAGAGGGGCGCGGCGACCTTTTTCGACGCTCCGATTCGAGTCTCCAACTGGAGGCTTCGGCTTTTTCCACGGAGGGTGTGCGCAGCACTCCAGTCGCATCAAGCTATGGCTTCCTCAGGACGCCCCAGTAGGGCCGCCGCTCCGGTAAGTCCCGATTGCTACAATGCTGCCCAGCAAGCACGACAGCGCCTCAAAATCTTGGAAGCGCCCCTGTGTTTGACGTCCTTATCGCTGCACGATGTTGAGTTGCTTTTGGTTCTCATGGTAAGCATTGTTAGGCTATGACCATGCTGACGTGTGCCCTATGAGAAACCTTCCGTGAGAATCATCAATTGTCAGTTGGGGCTCAGCTGAGATAATCTTTACAAATGGAACTTCAAGGGAAACCGGGCCAGTCAATGAAGGTGTATTAGTAGTGGACACTTTACGCAAATTGGCAGTGCACTGCAGAATAGGTTTCCTGCAGGGAAAGGGACCATGTGACCATGATGGATTTGGACTTGGATCATGAAAATCCACGAATTATGGGACACTACAGAATCCCCGTAAGCATGGCAGCGTCCCATTTTGCGCAGCGAACTCAATGCATTGACGTCAAGCTTTCCAGCCCACCAGTTTGCATTTTGCCCAGTATGCTGCGGCCGTGAAATATTTCCACATGACTATGAGCGCAAGGGGTTGTCAGTGGTAATGGGCCATGGCATGACATATCACATGGACCGAATCGACCGAAAACTCACAACACGCGACTGTCACACACCGACGAAGTCATTGGGGCAAACAGATGCATATTCCTCAGTGGTCACTGAATTTGCACGCGACTCCACAACGGTGAAAGAATAAGAACAAAAACCTGTGGCTGACAACCCCAGCGTGGCAGTCATTTTGCACCGTGTTCTTCACCTTGGTTTCAAACGAAGCCAAGAGTAGAAGAGCGTCGCGAGCAGGGGTTGTCAAATTTTGACTTCAACCACTGCCATGTTGTGCCACAAGAAGGCAGCTTTCAACAGATCAGTCAGGTTCTCGGCTGATGAAAGACATGAGTGAGTCTCAACCGGGGCAAGTGGGCACACATGAAGCTTGGGCGGGTGATCAAAGGTCTCCCATCATAATTTTCCTGCGGGAACGATGGACACATCATGGAACAGTTTTTGTCAAGACATCCCCATCGCTTTCGGCTCAATGAATGACATGGAAGAAAAGATCTGAAACACAAAGTCTCGGGAAGGAGTTAAGTACGCCTTGTGAGTTTGATATAGAAAGGCTTGTAAGTGGCTGTAGTACATCATCGCATGCCAAAAGGTTTTACCAGACGAAACATGTCATGTGGACAACTTGGAAATCTGGAAAGCAACAGTCGCGACACTTGCACACAAAAAGACACCAGCACAAAGCTCTGGCATTGTTGAAGACTCCACGTTCTAAAGCTCGTGCCATTTGGCAGCTTCTTCCAATGCTTGCGTTTTGCTATGCGGCCACTGGGCCAGAACAAAGTTGCTGTATTGCCCAGCTGGCCCAGCTGGTAGCTGTTAGTTGAACTGCATTTCTGTGCTGACATCCGACAGAGGTTTCGAACTCTTCAGCATACTCTTCAATCTTCACAGCGCGAGCCTTATTTCGTGGTGGACCCATGGTCGACCAAACCTGGACGAACGTGGACGCCATGCTGTCCGTGGCTCCCCTGGGCGAGGTTCTCCACGCTGTCCGAAGCAGCTGTATGTCACGTGCTCGTGCTGGCGCCTTCACAGGTGGCCAACGAATCGGAGCCGAGGGAAGAGCATAGACCTGTGATAGAACTGAGTCCAGCTGTGGGCGTAGCCAAGCTTTACAGCTTTCTTTTTTGGAGTGTTGGAAACCTACTGGCTGCTACTGGACATGCTGGAGCCTTTTTTCCTGGTCTGATGCTGATGATTGACTTGACAATGATTTGCGCTGGAGGCCTGGATAGACTTGGTGCAGACAAGGCGCTGCGACCTCGTGGTAGGGATCTCTTTGGAATGAACTCTGGAGATGCCCAAGTCCTTTTGGTCTTTTTGGTGTCACTCTTACTCTCGGAAAGCCACAGGAATCCCAGATTACCCTGAATTTTTAATGCATTTCTAGGACTGACTTATAGCAGCTATATGTGTATATATATATATATAATGCAGCTAATACCACTTCCAAGGAACCTTCGGGTTGACACGTTCGGGAGGCAAACCACCCACCGAACGTCATACCCCTTATTTCAACATAATACCCCTTATTTCAACGTAAACCCGATGGGGAGTTCCATGATGCACATTGACCGTTCGAACGGACCGGTTGAAGCGCATTGTTGAAAGCACCATGGACCATTCAGCCATGTGAAAAATGGTTTAGCAGTGAAAGGGGGTCAAACCCACGCGGGGTCACCGACACCACTCCTCAAGAGTTCACTAACACCAAGCTTTCAAAGAAAGCCATGTTTGTCCCAAAGCTCAGTTGAAAATTGCAGGGAAGACTGAAGGTAGGAGTAGCTTTGCCTGCGAGGCGACGGCAGATCCCAACCTCTGCCTTGGTGGAATGCACGGGGCTCAGCAACAAGGCTTTATAAGAACATTTATAAAATCTACTAGTAACAGTATTCAGTATCAAGGTTCTACATTCTGCAACACAAGTACGGCGTGTAGTATTCAGTTGTCTTGTATGGGTATATCGGTCCGTATATTAGTATTGTATTGATACATTGAAATCCTTGTACTACACAGGTGTGATTGCTTGCTGGATTATTTGTTGTGCATGATCCGAGAACGGCTCTTGGCCTCTTGGCCTTCTGCTAGTTTATCATCTCTTGCATGTGTCAATTGCTCATTAATTTGACTTGTGCATCTCTTGCTGACCACCAATGAATGCCACCTTTTTCCGAATGCTGCAACTCGACCCTGCTGCTTTGCTTTACACGTTGTGAGTTGCCTCATGGCTTTACTAGTAGCAGCTAATGCTGGTGCTTTAGTCATCCCACAGTAGGAGGCGTTTATTTTGAGAAAAGCAGTTGATCCTCAAGCAAAAATCAGCAAGTTTGAAGTTGACGCTGTGATGTGTAATTTGCACTGTGTGCTCATGTAGTACTCAGTAGACTCAGTAGAGAGTAAGCAGGGAGTGGCTGCAGCAGCTTTGTCTAGCAGAGAAGACTGCGGAGACCGCGAACACTGTGGAGACGACGGCGTAGATTGTAGCTGTTGTAGGAGTCTCAGAGTAAATGGTGCCACTTGAGAATCCTAATGATCCTACACAACCCTCTGTGCTGGTCATGCTACTCGTGTGGGCTTTGGAACGAGCCGTGGTTTGGCATGGTTTTGCTGGTGGCCCTCCGCCGGTGGCCTTGCGGGCGATGATCTCTCGACAGGCTGCGATGAGCTCTCGCGTGCTCGCTGCCATGACTTTGACCTGTGGAAATCTCTCGGCGAGGAGCCCCTTGGTTGAGAGAACACAGGATTTGGCCGGAAAAAGAACTTCGATCGAAATACTGGGTGATCGAGCCAGCGATTTGGCACATTGTTGGAGTTGTGTTGATCCGAAAATGAGGCATTGTTACTGAATGATTCAATGAGAACGTTTTTTAGATCCAATGCCATCAAATGTGGGACACGGTCAGCAACTGGCGCCATCATGGCCTCACCGTGGTTCAAAACCCGAGTCTCACTTGCCCCAGGCTAACATGTCGACTCACTTCTGGCAGGCGCCTCTGCCTCAAAGAGGACTTGTACTGTAGCTATGAATGGTCAACTTTTGATGTTCTCACAGAACAAGTCAGGAAGCACATGCTCGAAATTTGGTATATTATATAATAGATATGCACTACGGGTGAAACTTCACTGAGGCGCTCAAGCTCTTGCCATGGCAGCTCCTACTGCATCAGCCTCAAACGAACAGGTTCATTGTCAAGCAATTGTCTTGGAAATTGCTGCATGTCTTATTATTGCTGTTGGGTTGAAGTTCCTTGTCTAGCCTTCCACCACCATGAAGAAATATCACACAGGCAAGCAAAAACGTCGCAAGGTTAGCGTGTCAGTATCGAACAGAATCGCACGCGATAGCACTCAAGACGTGCAATGTTGCTATAGGCATTGGAATCTGTGTCAGTCCTCACTTCTTTCGCCGGAGTCTTTTGCCGCCGACAGCTTAGAGCCGTTTGGGGTGGCGGTGGTGATCAAGTGCGGCAACATACAACAGCTGTAAGTGGTTGAGGAATGTTGAGGATATTGCTGCACACAGAAAACAGCAAGACTGATGGGCAGTGCCGATGACGACGAGGCTGAGGATGGTCAAGATATGTCAAGACATATTGCACAGAGGATGCTAAAATGTATCTAAAGGTCACAGTTGACAGTTTTTTTTTTTTTTTCAGAGAGCGTTTTAATTTGGATTTCGGCTTGATATACTGTAACTTCGGCGAGATCTGGTAAACGAGTAATCTACGATCCACTCTTGGATCCAGTTGTGCTGCTGATTGTCTTTGTCAAGACTCAGTCTGAAACAGGACAGCAAAACCATCAAACATGTTTCCATCATTTCCATCCATGTGTTCTCATTTTCAATGTGGTAGCATCACACATTTCAGGTCACCGTCGACTCCTTGATGCTCTAGAGTTGGAGACTTATTTGTTGAGCGACAGAGTGGCTTGCAGTTCTTCGGCGCCCATCAATAATAGTATAGTGAGAATAATACATATAATATCTAATGTCTATATAATATGAGATAAGTAATTTTATAGTTACTATACTATATTACATTATTAAGCGAAATTAAGCGTATTAAATGTTCATTCTTTCTTTTGGGAGAGGGTTCTAAGTGTTTCTTATAGTTTCCGGGTTTGACTCAGTGCGCCAGAGAGCTTGGGCTGTCCAAGTCACCGGTTGGAAGCGGTCTCCATGGGTTGCGTGGCGCCTTCCGAAGCGGAATCGGTTCAGGACATCGGAAGCGCCCGTTGCTCACAGCCGATCAGGTTCTGCCGGAATGATCCATGGAGCGAAATGGCCAAGTTTGGATGGTTTCCTCTTCTGTGACTGCTGATGGGCAAGAATCGATGATAAGCCCACGACACGGCTTGGGGTTGGGGGTGGCGATGTTCTTGTGGTCTCGCCGACGACCCTGGCCGGTCGGGAATGAACCTGCCTCGGTCGGTCAGTTCGGCTGGTTGAAACCAGCTGCCTCCGATGGCAGCACGCCCCACAGTCGGCACAGTCGGCACAGTGAGGGGCACTGTGCCTTTGGCGAAACAGCTTTTCCCGACTGCTACCTGCATTGTGCATGACCTGTTTAACTGAACAAATCATTGCCCAAAGATTGCGAAAGAACAGATTCCACTCTGGATTATGTGTAATTAATAGTTCACATATTAATATGTACGTTCATGCTTAGCTTCACTGTGCTGACGTGTTCACATCCCTCACAAATAGCACGTGTAACCATCTGAGGTCTCGGAGAGATGCCGAAGGCTTGAGGTCTTTGCACACCATGGAGCTCAAGCGTCTACTTGTGGCCTGTGGACAGTGCGGCACTTGACAACAGCGAGCGTGGTTTGCCTGTCACTAAGACACTAAGCGAAGTGAATGGACGTGAAAACAGATCGCCGCAATGGCAGGTCTTTCTGTCGGCCTTTTGCTGTTTGCCCATTAGCTGGCGCTGCTGTATACGACATGTTGAAGCTCTATATGGTTGGACACACCGAAACACTGATGCATTCCGTTGGCGTTCCAGCATGTTAGACCATGCAAGAATGGAAGACCATTTTTTTCCATTTCTAGCCCAGCTTCAGGGGAGGATACCTTGAGTCATACCAATCAGCAATCTCAAAGCACATGTGCAGAACAGCACACGAGCAGACTGAGAAGACCCGGTATGAGAAGCACCTGCGGAGTCTTTTCAAGACGACGCGACGTTCGACGTTCCGCACACCGCACGGCCAGCGAAGACATACGCCATGGGAAGGACACGTGGCCCGTCGAGGTCGCTCGTCGAGGTCGGACCTCGGCCCGGTCGCTTCGACCTCGAGAGCCGGAGCCGCTCAGCGAGAAGAGGAGATCGACCGGTGGAGGAGAGAAGACCGGGCATCGGTCGTCGGCTGATGTGTGCATCGTGAGAAAACGACATAGAACGACATAGAACGACTGGAGATCGCCCAATGACTCGAACTGGATCCAAATGCTGTGTTCCCCTCTTCCAAGGAGTTGTTGGAGAGCGCTGCAGATGTTCTTTTGTTTTGGTCTTTTGGTTGATGGCCTGTGGACAAGACGTTAAGCCCGTAGTTGAAGCAATATTTGGCCAAACCCTGGAGGAGATCGACTGCAACCAACTGAGATTGTCCCAAAGCTGCGGAGGCCCCTCGGCGAATCATGCTCCGCTCGAAAGATGGTTGATTTTTTGTTTGGACAAATCTTTTGACACACTATGCCTTGTGACAAACTTTGCCCTCCAGGTGCTTCCGCTGACTGTCGAGAATCAACGAGGAGTTTGGACCGCAAGGCACAGCAGATCATAGCACTTTCGCGGTGAAACACATGAAAGACTTGGATTCATGTGGTCATGCACCTTCTGAACTGAGTCTTCCTTGATTGAATTAGCTGGGTTCATTCTCTTCGATTGCAACACAAGTAGCTGTACTTGGTAGCTGCACTTGCTTGGGATATCGCATGATATCGCTATTGTGACCATGTTTCATAATACGCTTCACTTTTGGAGTTTGTTGTACATCTCCCCCTCTCCCTCTTTCTCTCTTCATCTCTCCTTGTCATGTCTTCATCCGTGGGCGGAAAGGAACCAAAATTGGCAAAACATCGCGTGCAGCTGGCCGCTCTACAGCGCACGTGGCTTGGCTGCAGTTCATTTGATGCTTCATTTCATTTGATGCTTCATCGGGTTCTTTGCAACTGCACACACATATCTCATAGTTATGAGATCCAGAGTGATTTGAACACTGAGTTTGTATTTGTCGGAGCACTGTCACACTGTGTACGGCAAATTCAGGAGTTGCAGCTCCACCATTGAGTCTTTTCCAGGACTGAGACCATGTTGTTTGTTCGCACAAATTGGTTTCATGATGCTTACTGCCTTCAAGCATTCATGTGCCACTTGGGCACCCTGCATATAAGGCGCCTAAGGCTTTCATGACGTTTACCAAGTATGTCAGGAAAATCCGAACCAAGACCTCAAAAGGACCGATTTGTGCGGCACTTGTGATGCAGCCAGTGCAGACAATGTGCTTGTTTTTATATGGATCGACAAGAAAATGGCACCGAGGTGAAATTGGATCCTTTGAATGCACCAACAAGCCTCGCTTGCCGATTTGCTGCGTCTCAGCTAGTTTTGGGTTTTAGTACTGACAGACATTAAAGCAGCTGAAGCGCAAAACATTAAAGACAGTGGTGTGCTACCTGCACAAGATGTGAGGATCTACCTGCACAAGTGCCACGGCTACGAGTCGGGATTTTCAATGCCTTTCCAAGTCGTGTTCTGCCACATCCTGGGGCAAAATGTTTCTTGGCTTCATGGGATGTTCTTATATAGGGGAGTTGAGCTTCGGAGAAGGACGTTTCTCACATATTACCATTTTCTCCGTCTGCAATCCAAAACTTGTGGCGCTTGATCCATGTGACCCATCTTAGCTTGGATTTGGTCAACTTGTTTTTGCTGCTCTGCTGCATGTAAAGAGCAGCTGGGGAAACCTTCAGAAGTGCTTGCAAGCGCTTTGAACTGCTTAAAGTTCGAAATCAAGCACCGTCTGCAAAACCACAGATCAAACCCCAAAAGCATCACTAAATTAAATAACACCGGACCCGACAGGTGTAGGAGGGGCTTGGAAGAACGTCCTAACAACCTGATGTGTGCAATCTACTTTCGTCTTTTTGGATCTATGAATTGGATCCCGGCAACCTAATGCACTAATTTGGTTTAGTTTGGCACAATTGAAGCCGGTAGTTTGCCGTTCAATGAGTGCCAGGCCCAATAGGCTTCTCTATTTTGCTCCAGACTGTTGATGGTGCAGAATGACGTTGCTAGTTGAAGCATTTTCATTCAAGAGCCCTATTTACATGTGTCATGTCTCCTGTCACGTATGGAATCGAGGTGCTTCCTTTCTAAATTATCTACATAACGAATAATCTATATTAACACTGTCTTTAGAGAAACGGTCTTGAGCGCTCAGGCTGCAGAGTTGCATTGATGTCATCACCTTGGTTTTACAGCAAGGTAGGGCAAGCTGATGACTCTACTGTAGTTTCTTCAAAGTTTCGAAAGTTTCATGTGGTGAACTGTGGTGGACCATGTTGGACCATAGTGGACCAAGCAGGTTGGAGAAAGCACCATGTGTTGCACATGTTCCACATCGGCATGTTCTGACTGGACTGGATCTGCTTCTTCGGAACGTGGTAGGCTGTGGCTCGCTTCATTTGGACTCATCCAGTCCAAATGGACAACGGTCCGTGGCTGAGCCGCAGCCTGAGTGCCATCATCGCCTTGAAGCAAGCTTATATATATATTATCTTGCACCACAGTGTGCCAAAATTTAGTGTGGCTCCGCCAGTGTCGGATCTTTTTTGCTGAAGCACTTCTCGTGTCAAGCCGGACCGCGCCGGACTGCTTCATCCTTTTGACCGTTCGTGTTAAAGCAAGTACAGCTTCATCTTGAACACAAACAAAACGGGAGGACAGTCCACAGTTCAGCCACTTCCCCGATTCGCCGACCAGAGAATCGTCCGGTCGGATGTGTTGAGTCGCTGAACGAGGCTTTCTGCCCCCAGTCAAAGTGGAGCTTCTGCAGGCGTGAATTGCCCACACCGTGGAAGAAAGCGCATGAAACGAATGTGGGTGTGTATTCTTATATTAGCGTGGTCTGCCTATTTTAATACACACCCATGTGGAGTGTTCACATGATGTTCACATGTTCACAACAGTCTTCATGGTGTGCGCGCCGCAAGATTGCCATTTCAAGAGGCTGAAATCGATGCTCAGACAGACAACAGCAAACCCCCAAAAGTTATCATGCGACAGCTCACTGTTCTTAAAGCTTTCTTTTAGACAACATTGGATACTTTGTACAGAGACTGTATCATTCACATCTGTTGCACCTTCACAATGCCCGCATTCATGTCCTTGCTCGAAAGGCAGAGGATCTCTGTGCGGGACGCCTTCGCCGACCAACTGGACCATACAGTGCTGTGCCAATCCACGCCATGGCAGAAATGGGCTCTTTCAGCCGTTGAGACGCTATTTTTTCACATGTTCTTAGGTGGAGGCTACGATGTCTTCCTGGTCCCCGGTGGGTCTGTCAAGGTGTGGGCAACAGTTCTTTGCTGAAGCTAACTGTGGAAATGACGCCTGACCTTTCAATTGACATAGCAGTGATTGCTTCTCTCATGGTTCTCAGAAGTGATTTGCGTTGGAATCATCCAATGTTGCCACTTCAATAATGCATGGTTGGGATTCATCCACCCTCCAACTTGTTTATGTTTGAAGATGTTCGACAACTTTGTTTGTTTGACTTGACATACTTGGGCAGCCAAGGTTCTTGATCGTTTGTAACAGTTTTGCTTGACTTGTTCTATTGCACAGCCTTCGTTTTTGGATTGACTCAGGCGGATTTGCGAGCGCTCGGCAACGAAGGCTGTGCAGCAATACGGCGCTTTGTGCAGAGCGGTGACCTGGATGCATCCAGAGCGTTTGTCGATCGGGCAGTTGGTTGGTGAACGGTGAAGGTGACCGTGAGTGACCAAGCAGTGTTTTTTGACACCTTCTGCTCAGTGCTCAGAAAATTGAGATCGGACTCATAGGATCTTCCTCTTCTGCGCTAGAGCCACGCCATGTCAGGTGGAGGCTACTGTGGAGTGTGCGCAGGTGCCTTCCTGGCGCATCAACTCAGGACGGGGGTGTCATTTCTTAAGAGAAAGGGTTGTTGTGAGGGACCAGCAAACAGGAAAACTTCTTAATTGCATTCCTGTGTAGCCCTACTATTCAATGTCTTGGCAGACTCGGCTTTAAACTTTAGAGGTTGTCACACTTGCAGAATGTTTGCTGAGGTGTGATCGAAACAGAACAATATGATGTTTCTTTTTTTGTCAGGCTCCTGGAAGTATCCAAAAGAAGCAGGCTTGGATTTGCATCCACCTGTCAAAGAGTTCAATAGGTCAAGGACAAAGGCAGCCCACTCATTGAACAAGACGACAGACTTAAAAAGAAAACGGACCCGTCATGTCATGCAAACACAAAAGCATCACATGCTTTGCCCAGGGTGCCAGAGACCAGCGACTCATATGGAGCGGAAAGTAGCGACAGCGAATCTGGCAACTTGATCGCACTTGGATTGTGGCAAGTTCAGGAAGGCCACTGTGCGGTGTCATATCATGTCATATCAATTCTGACGCTACGACACTATCACCGAGCCCTGGACATGGGAAGAACGAAAGACAAATCTGGAATAGAGCTAATTATTCAAGTCCTGCATCAAGTGATTCAAATCATTTCAGGTCATTTCAATCCTTCATGAAGTGATTTCAAGTGGTGTCAAGTTCTTTCCAGTCCTTCTCGTTTGCCACCCCAAGCACCGACCCGCTTCGGGCTGGTATTTTTTGGGTGCCACCGAGGTGAGGACGAGAGCGAGGGCTCCGCGCCCTCCAAGGTAACCGAACGGGACCCGCGGGCTTCGAGCGAAGCGACCGAAGGGGAACCCGGGAAGCGCCGGCAGAACATTCGAAGAAGCCATTCTTGGACCAAATTGATGGTTCTCATCATGTAATAACTCATGTAATATAATGTTATGATTCCATTTGCTTGAGGCAGCTCATCTAGAGGATGGGTCATGATTCAACGATGGGTCAAATTGCTACAACGCTGCGGCCTTTGAACGGAGTCACTGCGGCATTGGCCAGGCACGTCGGGGTCGAGGGACTCGAGACCCCTTGACCGTGAAGGTGAAGTTCACGCAGAAGGGCCGCAAGTTATTGTGCCTGCGGCTAGAACTCATGTAACTTGCTGTTGAACTCTTGTTTTGGCAAACTAACATGTTTGCATATATTTGCCTTGTTGCTAAATGGATGGCCGTACAAGATGGTACAAGCCACACCACCTAGTTCATGCATCGTGCTACTGTATTCTTTGCTAATGATATACATATACATGTGCACGTATATATATATATATATATTAAGCTTAGTACGGCAGTACGATGCACATTGATGCACAGTGTATACAACTTCAAAATGCTTGATTCATCGCGTTACCACATTGTAGACAGATATCCTTGAGGTGGCACGAGGGTCGCTCAAAGGCTGCGGAGCCAGATGAATCCTCTTTCGGAGAAGTGTGATGCTTGCCAGCAGCCATGTGATCGTGTGATGGCCATGTCTAGCCTATTCCAGCCATGTTCGGCCTGTTCCAGCTTTTTCCAAAGAGCACTTGGATTGCTGATTTCCTTTGAGGTATGAGATATCACAATGGACCACGCTTCGACGTTCCAAAGGCAAGGCGTTTCATGTGTCGAAGGCGTTTCATGAAGATCTGGCCTGGCAAGGCTTCGGCTGCTCTCCTCCTTTGTCGGATGTCGGCCAAACATGAGGTGCAGGACAAAGGTCCCAGCACATTGCGACTAGTCTGCAGAGTCAAGGTCAGCTAAGCAGCTTGGGTTCTGTAGTTGTACTATGTTGAACTCTCCCTTCCTGCCCGACCCCCTTTTGCAATGTGGGTGCAGTGTGATGCGGCACCTACCCAAGTTGACTCACAAGCCTCGGATTGGAAGCTCCTGGAACCTGTGATTTGTCATGTTCTGTCCACGCCAAACGGTGCATTAATATTCCACGGTCTTCGATCCAACCGCTGGGCCGTAGGGCTGCCCTTTATGATTCACGCACGGATCGTCACCAGCGGCCGCTGGTCGCTGCTCAGGAAAGGATCTGCCGGCATTGTCAGGGGCCGAGGGAAGTGCGACATTCGGATCATGCTGAGTCTGACAGGTCCAATAACTTTGGGAGGAAAAAGTATGGCCAGAAACTCCCGCTACAACAGACCAATCCAAATCCAACCTCAACTGATACTGTTTCTCTCAGTTGCGAGCTGCTCGCGCACATGACAGCTGAGGTGATGCAGAACTTTGGCGGTGGCCGAGTGGTAGCAATCTCACCACATCCAGAGTCCACGTGCTGGTCTTATTTCTCCTTCAGACCTAGAGCCAGAGCTTTTCAAATTGTCACACTGCATGATTTGGTCAGGCAGCTTTAGATTCTGACTGAAATATGAGATGATATGAGATGATAAAGGACGAACGCAGATGACTGTGACCTGTAAGATGGCACGTCGAAAAATGTCAAAATCATGTTTACACTTCATCAGTCAACTCACAAAGATCGAGCAGAACAACTTGGCTTTGTCAGCCCGATGAGAACTGCAAAGGAACGCATTGCTAATTGCTATAGTCGTTGCTATGTTTTGTGTTTTTTGCTCCTTCGCGTCCTCAGCAGAAAAGAGACTGAAGGCAAGACAATGCACTCCTCCCCGAACCTGGAAAGGAGCGGCTGCGACGAGTTGTTTCCTCGGTCTTACAACAATCATTCTTTTGTTCAGCATGTGAAGACTTAGATCAGATATGATTGGATAGGATACAACAAGCCCATAGGCCAGCTTCGACGAGGCTAGAAGGCCACAGGAACCAGCTGCAGGGCTTTGGCACAATGTGTTTGGCATTCACTGCACATCAAGTGTCAGTAGTGTTTGTATGTTTATAGTAACTAATGTTAAGTTTATTGCATCTTGTTTTCAGGGAGCCATTATGTCTCCTGAACTCTTTCCAGACATTCATGTTTCACCGAGGTCTTACAACGTGCTGTCCTTCTAGCTGCAGCCGGACCAGCTGCACACAGCCCTTGGGCTCAAATGATTTTTTTGCGGGAGAGATCCTCCGGGAGCGACAAAGGCCTCTTGACAGGCCCCATAACGTGAGTTGCCCTTTCAGAATCGACATCGCCGTTTTCCTTAAAACACGTGCCAGGCTGGCTGGAGAACGAATGCCACATACCTGTTTGACCAAAGATGTCAACGTTGAATGACCGAAATTTGCAAATCGGCTCGGCAGTTTGGCCTCTCATTTGAGAAAGCCTGGCCCTGGGGACATGCTGAAAGCAGCCCCCAACGTCCATTATCTTGCCCCGCAATTTGGCAAAGGTCATTCATATAGACAAATTAATCTATATGACTTTGTTCAGGGACATCGACATCATTATTTGTCAAATTTTGTCAAAACTGCAGGGTGCTGTAAACCTAGATTTTAGTAAAGTGTCAGTTTTGTTGGCATGGCCAAAGGTGCATGCTGTTTGCTGGCTAAGCCATTCACATTCTATAAAAGCGCCTTTTTCAGCGCTTTCAGCAGCGGCTGCGCGAGCTTCGCTTTCGGTAGCGATGAAAGGAGAGCTGTCGCGATGAAAGGAGAGCTCTGACCAATCTGCAACTCTGACAGTGTTGGACTCCAAATCATCAAAGACCGAGCAAAAAGACATCAACATGATGGGACACCGAGTGAAATCTTTGCATGTTCCAGACACGATGGGAAAGATCTAGTGCCTAGGAGGAGGACTTCCCTTGTTTTCTTTGTTTTGAGGTTGAAAGCTGCCGTTTCGTTGGGAGAGATTGCAATCGACTTCCTGAGCCACAGGCCCAATGCTTGGATTCCAATTTGTTTTTACTACAAGCAATCTTCTATCTGGACTTTGTGAACAGATGGACCCACTTTGATCATTGAAAACACTTGAGTCAATTCAGATTCTGAGCCCAACGACCCGCATGGATCCACCAAGACCCCATGGATCCGCATGGGTCGTTTTGGAGTCCTCGCGGCTGGTCTCACTCAGGGAGATTGGCTCCTCCTTGGTGCTCTTGCAGACGGCGGGGTCTTGGGGTCCTTTCGGGTCGACCAGGTCTTGGGGCGGAGCTTTAAAGGAAAGCAAGAACTAGCTTTGTCTCGGAAAGGAGTGCAAGCATCCAAAATGAACCAATACTATCCAATACTTAAATACTTGATGCTGCTCGTTTCATTGGACACTTGTTCACCACAGCTACATGTGTCCTTTTTCATGCTTTTTCCAAACCCTTTTAGGACAACCACCCTTTGAGCTAGGTGCACGCAGCAGTGCGGCTTTGTTTGTTCCCAGCGCGACAAAACAGGCTGGACAAGAAGGCACAGTACGTTGTTCAAAAGAATTACTGACATCGTGACAACATCATGCGCATCCCTTTGTCGTAATTGAGTGGCTTGATGTGGCTTGTGAAGCTTCAAACAATCACTACTCATGGCATCACTACTCAGCCGTTCTCCTCCTTCTTCTTCGTTTGGTGAATCTCCTTCAGGTTTTGGACCTCTCTTTGGACACCATGCATGCATCATGTGCTACACAGCGCTGGCATGGGACGAGACCAGGTCGCGGAGGCCCAGTGCGATTTTTGCGACGTCCATCGGGCATGAAAGTGCACGGAGCGAGTGATGGAGCTTCGACCCTGGGACACACCAACCAAAGGGGCAGATGAGATGAAGAGAGCCTTCTGGCCTTCTCCTTTTGGTCGGAGTCAAGGTCACTGCCTTTGCTGCAGCAGTGGCTTTGCAGCAATGGGATTGTGCCAAGCGACTTGCCCTGGAGTTCAGCACAGGTCTCAGACTGGAGGACACTTCGATGTGAGGGTTTGAAGTTTTTCGACTCCAAAGCACGGCTCTTCGACTTTGCTTCTCCCCAAAGCACCCCATCGTGAGACATCGTGAAGACGAAAGGCTGGACTCAATGGGAGTGCTCCCGAGACCTTGCAGTTGGCCTCGGGAGCCTGGCTGTGCTTCTAGGCGCCGCTGGCGCGACCAGTCGCGGAGGTCCCATCCAACGTGTGGTTGGTTGGGATCGGAATCGGAGGTGAGGTAACTTTCAGATTTGAAGCCAGGTGACTTACAATCCAAGGTTGGCTTTCTTTGACGTTGGGCTTGATGTTGGCTATTCAGCTATTCCTTGATTCTTTTGCTACAGCGGTATATAAGGATGCCTACAGCGGTATATAAGGATGCTAATCATACGATGACATTCGTTGAATAGCCGATTTTTGACAGCGAGATAGCGAGTAACGAATGCAGAAGATGGAGTGGGACAACACCAATGTTTCTTCAACATTTGAACCATACATGGATCCGCAAACTGATTGCGTTGTGTGACAAGGAGAAAACCGTGCTGCTGTTTTGCTTCGAGTCCCAATGTGAGTATGATCCACCCGCTTGTTTGTGTGGAGAGGTTTGCGCAGAGCTTCGGCAAGCTTGTTGCGGGTTGGCACAGAACTGCTTGCAGAGGTTCCTTTTGGGACTGAAGCCTTCTAGACTCTAGACGCGAGTTCCTTCCTGGTGATATTTGTGCTTGAAATAAGTTCGTTTGTACTGTAATTAAGTCTTGCTTTTTGAAAAGCTTGTGCCACAAGTCCACGCATGCATTGTCAGCAGATAGAAAGGGTTGCCCCAAGTGTGCTGGCACCTGCCCAGTTGCTGACACTTGTGAGGCTTGTGCAGTCTTCTGCACAGAGAAGTGTCTCTGGCTAAGACTTGTCGACATCCAGATAGAACCGTATGTGAAGCCAGGTAGTTGCGGGCCAAAATTGGATGCTTTGGATGTTCTGGCTCTGGAAGCAGTGGCCAAGGTTTACTTCCAACATCTGAAGTTCGACAGCTGCTAATGTTTGCTTTGGTCAACATGCATTTGTACAAAGGCCGGACACCATGTGCTGGTGCTTCAGTGCTTCCACAGTGGACACAGACATGAAACAACATGATTCAGAGCAGACAACTTCATTTATGCTTGCGCTGGGTGCTGCAAATTGATACCTGGGCAGGTTTTTTGCTGAATCTTCCTGGCTTGTTGCACCTTCTCTTCAAGATGGAGGTGGACAATCTCACTGAGAGCCCAGTCTTTACCTTTTAGAAGTGCCACAGGATAGCATGCCACGAGCCACAGGCAGAAGCAAATCCAGGCCCATACGATATGGTCTTCACTTCTGCAAGTGCGCACAGTTGAACCCTGCAGGCTGCAAGAACAAGTTGTGCAGGTCGTTCTGATGGTGTGCTTCTTAGTTCTCCGATGTTTCAGCTGAGTGGAGGCAATCGTATTTCGAAATGTTTTTGCGGCGCGGCACAAGGCATGCATCAGAGTGGGTTGTGTTTCTGACAATTCTGACGTACCCGGACCCTGAGGTTCTACACTCACAGGGAAGTCCTTTGGATGCATGGATTGGAGGCATTTCGGTCGAGGCCGCGATAGCAATCAACTAGGAATGCCATTGCCTTTTAATTTTGTTGAGTGGCAACGCTCTTAGGTTGGAGGCCATCGCTAGTAGGTTGGACGCCATCGCTAGTAGGTTGGAGGCGATCGCCGGCCATCGCTATTAGGTTGGAGGGCAACCTTTAGGATGCACTCCAATAGTTCGGATGGGCTTTGTGCACATCAGAACACCTGGGTTCCTAGGTGCAACCACTTTGCACTAAGAGTTGGCTTGGCACAGTATAATTACTTTAGGGAGTGTTGCTTGCAACCAACTAGCAAGCCTTCACTTCATTATTTGCTAGGAGCCGTGCTTGGTGTATGCTGTGGATATCTTCATTGACAAAGGCACAGGCTTCTGTCTGAGAATTGCATTGTTTCACCATGAACTCACTGTAACTCACTGTCTCACCATGTTGTGGGGCAAACAACAACAGCAAACTGTGCAAACAAAAAAACAGGTTTCTCCTCTCAGATCCGCGCTTTTCTCAGGTCCCTGATACCGCTCACTTTCGGCCATCAAGCAACAGCACAGAGCCACGGAGCCGGCGGTCGACCGGCGACCCGGTGGCGACCCAATGATGCGCTGCCAGCCGCGACTTGACCGAAAACGTCAAGCATGTTTTTGTTAAAAAATGTTTGATCGTTTTGCATGGCATCAGACTCATGTGTGATGTTTTTGTCTTTCGCTGCTTAGGCCAGTCCCGTTCAATGGCTACGGTTGAAACTCTGCACACCCAACATTGAGGAGATTGGTTCGATGTATTTCAATAATCAATCTCTGAAATTGGTTCGCATTGTTCATTTGAAGCGTCCGTATTGGAGGCAGCATTCGCTTGGCACCGCAGCAGTGATTTTGATAGACAGCACAAACCCTCCGACCATTTTTAGATGAGGAATCATCTTAAAGCACCTCCGAGGGTTTATGCGGAAGGCTCACACTGCATTTTCCATGCTTTCGGTGATTTGGCGGTGGGCGTTGGTTAGATGTTTGAGTTTGGAATCTATGAAGTAGAAGCAACGCAGGAAGAAACGCAGAGTTCGATGGCAACAGGTCAGGCTGCCTTGCTGTAGCGAGCTGAAACAAGCTTGTTGAGCTTGTCGGTGGATGAGGCCAAACCTGAAGACCACCACATGCCAGCCAGAGCGATAGAGGAATGGTTTGGAGGCAGTGTGTGTGGAAATTGCATTGAACCAGGCTGCAGTTGGCTAGTCGCAAACCAGCTCTCCAGAGTATGTCTCAACTTCAGCAGCATCCGTGTTTTCAAGTGCAAAGGCGTTGCTTCTGATTTTGTGTTCAGGACAAAAGGAGTCCGAGACGTGCGGGCTTATTGTGTTCTGACGGGCAAAATAGCTGTATGATGCTGTATGGTTTTGCAACTTTTTAGATAGAAGGCCGGAAGACCTTTGAATACTTTCTGAGTCCGATGACATCATCACAGAACCTCAAGTGAGTGAGCACCATGCAGCTTCTTTTGCCCGAGCGAGGGATCATGTCTGAGCTCAAAACATCTAAAACGCTGGAGGACTCAGCCACAAGCAAGATTGAACTTGGACAATTACAGGTCATGCAAACCTATGGACCTACTGAGATCAAGGCATTGCCAACCAATTTGAGACTCGCTGCAGTGTCAACACTCGATCCAGAACTATCATGGTTTGCAGTTTGTATCCCACCAACGCTAGCTAAGCAACAATTAGAGCTTCAACACATGCAGTCTCAAGACCAACCTTCTGCAGCAAAGTTTCTTTCGCTTGCTCCTTCTTTGGTGGCCTGCCTAAGCCATGAGCTTTGTCCAATGTGAAGTGCATGGCCAGCCAGAGTGTTTAGTTGTGTTGCCTACTTGTCGCTGAGGCCCATGCATCAGTGGCTGTTCTTTGCCCTAGTCCAGTGAAGTCCTGAAGAACCTTTGAGATGGCAGCACCAGAAATGATTGAAGCAGTTGTTACAAATCTCTAATAGAGATGCCATGCAACAAACAGAATCTGTGTCATGTCTCGGAAGTGAGGTCTTCTTGCGCTATCTTTGTGGAGCTGCAGACGGAGGTGCAGAAGCGGCTTTCAGACTGGGCAGTTGATATCATATCAGTTGATGCTCGTCCCCGCAAATGCCAGTTTGCAACAGTTTACCTGTCCAAAGCCTTTGTGCACAGATTGAAGCATGTTTCAATATTAAAGGAAGTAGAGATAGCTCCGGATAGGTGACCGTGCAGAGTTGAACCATTGTGACCAGGCAGAAGCTCTGGAGCGGCTGAAATCCGACAAGGCGTCAAAAAGACCATTCGAAACCGAGCAAACCTACGGGGCAAAGCCGGGCAAAGCATAGTGACCTGCAATTGCAACCTCTACGAGTCGCACTCTCAACTTTTGACCACATTCAGTGTTCAGGTTGAACGTCAAGCATCTTCGTTGCAGTAAATAACTTGGTGCAATCCTTGATATAAACTATATCATACTATATCACCGTAACTCTCCGATACCACAGAACAATCAATAGACCGCCGTTGATATAAAACAAACCAAGAGACATGCTGTCCAGTGGCAGTAATAGTCCACTACCCCTGTCGGTGTTATAGACTCTGATGGAGGCACAGGCAGCTAGATGCGACCATGAAGAAGTCGCAACATTCATCAAGAGAGGCAGGGTTTGCAGTTTTCTTGGTCAGGCTGCAGTTCAGTCTTCACTGAAGTTGTGAAACACAGTGGATGCTCCAAAGAGCATGTTCCTACCTTTGTCACCCTGTGTCCTGCTCATTTATATAGCAGAATTTGGCGGCCACTGACTGCACGGTGTCGTTTGGTCATTGCAGGCTGGTGGTCCTTATCCCGTGAAATGGTCCTAGCGTCACATGGTTCGCCGGAATTTGCCGCTGCCTTGGACAACTTTGCTCCTTTAAATACGATTCCGAGCGGTTGGCACACACACACACACAAGCTGCACACCGATCGGCCCTGTTACATCCCATGTCACGATAAGTATTCTTCGGACTGCAAGGATATTTGTTTGCATGTCAGCAAGCAGATACAGTGGTCAGGACAGTGTCAGCATGGAAACATAGGTACGGTTGGATGCAAGCATGTCGACAAGGATTGCAAAAGAGCCACAACTGTTCTCTTCCAAGGGCTCCTTGGAGAAGGTCGTGCGCAGAGAGTTGACGCAGATCAAGCAGAGCCTTGGAATTGTTCATCGTGGTTCACCAACTGGAACTTGTTAGCCGTTAAACAAATAAAAATAAAACAAAAACGTACATCATGGAAGCGGAACACGTCCCCCTTGGAAGACCGTTTTACTCTACAACAAGGGGGCTCCGCTGGTTCCACTCCATGATTCTTGAAGGAAGGGTCCCATGTGTATTTCATCGTTTTTCCAGATGATGAATCGATCACAAGCAGATCCAACACAGACTGCTCCTCATGCTGAACTGTGAGGAGCTCGGATGAATTGCTTTTGGCCCTGAGCCCTCAAGACGAGAGTCGCCTGGTCCTTTGATGTTCAGCGGACTTTTCATCTTTCTTTTCGTTGGCTGCAAGCAGAAGACCGACTCACCTGCATGGTTGTAAGGAATTGGAATCGTCCGCTGTGCAACTCAGTGGGCACAGAAACTCAGTTGCATATGCTTCCGGGATGTCCCCCAAAAGGATCCATCATGCAAAGAATTGACCGGGGTAGTTTGTCGATGTTTGTGGATGATCCACCAATTCGTGCCTGTCTCGGACTAGTCGATCGATGTCGAGGATGTTGGATGATTTTGGTTCTAGTTCTCGTCGCCTTTTTCACGTTCTTTTCTAGCCGCTCAGGAACAGCTCAGCGGTTTTCCTCAGCATCAAATTCGCTCATCGATGGTCATCACCAGGGGCTTTGAAAGTTCCTCAATTTGCATTGGGCGGCTTTGGAAGAATCTTCAACAACTGTATATAAAATATGTGAGGGTCAGAGAATGGCTTTGGATGCAAATGTAGCGTCTCATTTTCAGCCACAGTGTGGTTTAAGGGCCAGACGCCTTTGTTGGCAGCAGCCAGTACCCCAAGACCTCGCAATACTTTTTGACCCAAATATGGGACCTGTGTGTGTGGCCTCTACTGCTACAAATTTGATGCATTTGTTGCTGATGTCTTGTCGTTGAGTCCTGTGGAAATTGTGGGTGTCATACTTTGGGACCGCTTATGCAGGTTCATTACTCAGTTGTTTCTTCCCTCAGGTGTTCAGGACTTAGGGCTTAGGGTTGAAGATCAGGCTAAAGAGCGACTTCGCGACTTCAGCCAGTGCGGGGTCAGGCATAAAACATTGCAAAGTATGTACTTTGGGCGAAAAGGATTAGCTGATTGTGCTGCATTGTTGACCCAAGGTTCAAGACGAGAAGATTGAAGTCTCTTCATGCTGCTTCAACTTTTCTGCCTCCGGTGACCATTCGCAGCTGAGAAAACGATATGCGTAGAGGACTCAGGAAAGAGCCGGGTCATACAGTTGTCATAGAATTATCCAAACTAGACTAGGCCTCAATCAAAATGAATAGACTTAGCAAGAAATAGTTTTCTGGATTCTGGATATTGCAAGCGTAAACCACCGCCTTTCGAAGCCTAAGCAGTGCATCACGACAAGGCTGGACCTGCACTTCTTTGGAGAAGTTGGACTGGAACTCAGCACCTGGCCCGACTTTGTTCATTCGTAAACGACATCAACATCGTGAATGCGTTCCAGTTTGTCTTGTGTGCAATGGTTTGTGTCATGTTCTTGTTGAATCTTCTTGACAGGTTAAAGCTTTAGCTCAGATCTATCATTCTCAATCGCGTTGTGTGAACATGTTCGACTTAATTCGGGTTTTGCCTCAGATCCGGATCGCTGGTCTTGGCAATTGGCCTCGGCCGGGCGAATGACAGCGGAGTAGCCTTGGCATGTTTTCAGCTAGAAAAACAGCATCTCTCTCATTGTCATGGATAGAATTATGATAGAATCCAAAACTTGTGCGGAGAATTGAGCATTATGAGCAAGTTAACCTTAAACATGTGCTTGTATTCCGTAGGTGGTTTCACCCATTTCTCACAAGGGCCTCAACGCCTCAACCCCTTGTCAGTTGACTTGAAACCGTAGCCACAACCTTTCCTGCTTTGCAAGGATCAGAAAGCGCGAAAGTGCCAACTGGCCGCGGCTTCTTGATGCAAAGAGTCGCCAAGCTGCAGAAACAGCATTTGTGGATTGCAATGTTTTTTGAAGCAGAAGGACAACTAATGCGGTCAGGATCGAGTCAATGACTGACCACTTGATTTCAAGTTGCTTCGACGATTGGCAAGAGAGGCAAAAGCCATAGCCAAGGTAAACCCGGAAATTTGCAGGTTTGGGATTCAATGCAGGACAATTGTAGTGCGGCATTCCGCTGGAACACTTGGCTGATGTGTTATTCTCCCATGGTGACTGTCTTGAGAGGACAGATGGAAGAGCGAGCTCAAGGAGTTTGACAAGCAACGGAAGGTTGGAGGGAAGCAGAATGGTTGTAATTAATATGGCTTGATATATGGTTCAATGTTTAATTAGAATGGTTGTGGAGGATTGTGGAGCTAGCTGGTCTCGGAGGTCTATGGTGCAGTGATTTAGGAATCTGAATACTCTTGATTCTGTTGCTGTTCTCGTCAGTACCAGTTCTTTTTGCAGGCCAAAGATGTTGACAGTAGCGAAGGAGTAGAAGCAGCTGAGGACCGGCTCCTGAAAGCTTTTGTAGCCAAGCTGGAATCATTTACTTTCAGAATCCAATAACAAAAAATACAGGAGGATGAAAATACTTACGCGTTGATATTCGGAGGTCTGCGGTCACGTCCGATTGCAGCCGCCGACTCTCCTTCGGCTCCGTAGCAATCAATGATCAAAGTTGAGATTTGTGATAGAGAGAGCAACTTGCTCCTCGTGACTTCAGGAGGAGCAGCATTCAAGTGGCAGGCACAAAGACAATACTGCTGAAAGCTTTGAGTGAAGATGATTCCTCTCTCTTGTTATTTACAACTGTGCGAAAGTAAAAATATTTTCGCACAACTTGAGCAAGACGACTTCACCAGGCCATGTTAAAACCACTAGGAAGTTTCAATAAAACGTAGATGTGTCATGATGTGTCAATGACATTTAAGTAAGGATTGTGGTCGGGGATTCCTGGCACACCTTTGGATTCACTGCTGCATTTCAAGCCATCCGGATAGCAACTTCCTGCAGGCGGAAATGCGTCGACAGTCGGGCATCTCCCTTCTCCAGTGCAGGACACATTGCTCGGCCGGCCTTGCCAGTTTGGAGTGATTCAAGTTCCCGGCCTCGTCCTGCCTTGGGCTGAGGGTGTCCAGTCGATTGTTAAGTTAGGCACTCATGTAGCAACCAAGTCCAGCTTGGGATGCTTGAGCGCGTTGTTCGTGCTCCCATTTTCTTGCATTTTGTGAATGACCTTGGCAGGCTGTGCGAGTCCTACTGGCCACCAAGGACACACG